AAAACGAAGCCTTGAGCCTTTTACATGGAGCGATCGAGCTCTGAGCTGGGCACTGAAACATTTGTGTTTGTACCTAGAAAATGGGATTTGGTCAGCTCGCGAGAAAGCCCTCAATGTACATACTGCACATTTCTGGCAGGTTTGTTTTTATCTTCGTTTCGGAGGGCTGAAATTTAAAAGATGTAATCCTCACTGTTACTTATGCAAGAACAAGCTTGGTCTACTTCATATGAGCTTCGGCTCTGTTACTGAAACCGTATGAAGCCACATGCAGTAAATGTTCAATACTGCTAAGGGACAAGGGGTTCACTTTTGGTGCTGAAAGACTATCCAGGGAATGTCAGCTGCCTTAGAATTGGATCAAATCTAGTTCCTCGGCCGTTGTATGACCTCAACTGGTTTAGCCTTTTCTCACGAGTGAAATAATGTTCACTAGAAGCTACAGAATTCCTGCATGGTGGTAAGTGGGTGATGTGCAGGATTAATGACCCTCGTGTTCTTATGCTTAATACATTACTATCTGGCCAGGTGGAACTTTCAGGTAAACCAATGTTTGCATATTGAACAGCAGGATGTTTGGGTTTGGTCCACCTACATTTCGAGACCATTCTTTCTGTAGGGTGAAGAGAATTCTTGAGAAAGTCAGACTGATGGGTTACACGTCTTTCGCGCTCAGTTAAGAGAGGGATGGAGCCTCCATCACCCCTCGAGCAGAATGATCCACGTGAGTTTGACACCTTACATAAATGTATATATTGTAAATTGAGGTTGGGGAGCGCACACCTTTTCCATACGCCTCCTGTCCATCTTCGTGTGTCCTGTGGCGTGCATTATTATTATTATTATTATAATCAAAAAGAAGCGCTAAGCCACAAGGACTATACAGCCTGTGGCGTGCAGCCGTGCAACTGTTATTTTATAATTTTAAAGAAGCGCTAAACCCCGCCATGCAACTGACTTTGGTGCCCATTATAAGTGCTGACTTACGGCTTCGGCCTTTCCACCAACGTCATTACTTTTATAATTACCGACGTGTCTGTAAGAACCTCAGGGAACTTTTAAGAGAATCTTTCAACCTTCTGAGTTAATTATTTTTCTTATACATGATGCTAGTTATTTTTAACTTGGTGTGATTGTTTATATTCATGAAGAATAAGAAACGTGTGCAACACTGGAATCTTTATTTCCAAAACGTGTTGCTTACACAGCAGACTTCAGTCAGATAGAAAGGTGGCTAAAATAAAGATATGACAGTGTTACATAAGTGCTTTATTCATCACCTTTTCGGTATTACAATTTTTATAATTGCTAATTTCATTTTAGTTAATTTTACCTTGAGTGGTCTTATATGTGCTATACACAACCCGCACATAGGAGAGAAAAGCCTATGACGGACGTTTCGGTCCGACTTGAGCCATTATAAGTCGTGCCGAAACATCATTATCAGCTTCTCTCTCCTATATGAGGGTTGTGTTTTGTTCCAGTCACGGTATTGTGCCTTTTTGCTCTTTCCAGGCTGTTACTGCTGGGCGAACGTAAACTGACGTATGAAGCACAGGTACTGACTTTAGGTGCCTGTCCTTCGGCGTCTTGACGACAAACAAGGGTCTATTATTGAATAATCAAGTAGGTTCTGTATTAGGAGATTACTATATTAGGTACTGTATTAGACTACTGTATTATGAAGTTACTGTATTATTTCTAGTAGTCAACCTTTATTTAAAATCATTGAAAGTTGGGTGTAGACACCCTAATTACCTATGTATGCATCCTAATTACCTGTGTGTTCATCCTTATTAATAGTGTAGGTAACCTAATTGTGTAGGCACCCTAATTACCTGTGTATTTCTCATAATTGCTTGTGTATGCATCCAAATTACATGAGTATTCATCTTAATCACCTGTGTATGGATCCTAATCATGTATATACATCCTAATCACATGTGCACTTATTCTACCTCCCACTGTACGCATCTCAATCATCTACACATGCCACCTAATTAGCAGTGCACGCATATAAATTTCCTGTGCATGAAATCCAATTGCTTGTGCACACAGTCAGTTAACTGAGTGGTTCCACATGGACGACATGAACCACATATGCATTGAAAAGTGTATTGTGACAGAATGGGATTTAATAAAACTCCACCACTCATATTTGCCCAAATTTTATTTTGTTTACTCATATATATATATTCTTGCCGAATAAGGCAAGCGAAATTTGTGTATGCAATAATTTCGCAAAAATCATTCTGAACCTAACGAAAAATAATATATTTCATTGTTTATTATTAAATTATTGTAAACTTATCTAAAATATATTTAGCTGAATTAGGCTAAATTAAATTGCGCTTGTTATAATAAGGTTAGGTAAGTTTTCTAAGATTCTTTTGGTACAAAATTATTATTTTTTACATGATCATAAATGAAAAAAAAAAATATCTTTAAACATAAAAAAGAAAATTGTAGAAAAGACAATTTTAAAGGAGTTCTTGCTAAATGACTAGTTTTACCTATTCAGCAAGACATATATATATATATATATATATATATATATATATATATATATATATATATATATATATATATATATATATATATATATACATATATATATATATTGCATTGTTCACAATATTAATATAGGTAGTGGAAAATACACACATGTCCACTCAAAAAATAAAATATTCCATAACTCCAATAAAGATTTGATTATTGTAAATAAAATCCCTTTCAAGGGAAGGTGCCTCGTTACTTACGTTCATTAAGGGACACCAAGTAGAAATAATGTAAAAAAAAAAAATGAGTGAAGTTTTGTCTCATAAATATAATCTCTGTATTCAATGACTTATATTCCTAAATCTTGCGGTATTATATAAAATATTTCACTGACATTTACCTAAAACATACCCAAAAAAAAAAAAATCTTTAACACAAATACTGACATGCTTAGTTTTTAATTTCTCTCTCTACCCAAAAACAACAGAGGACTTTGTATGAACTTTTTTTTTAATTAACCTCGAAAATAACACCATAAACTGCGAGCCTTTGAAACCTCGACACACTGAAAAATAAATTTGCTTTCATGCGAATCACGTGGGGGGAAAAAAAAGTGGAAAAAAAATGTCCATCATGTGAATATCAACCATAAAATAAAACAATATATCTCACACGTCAGCACAGCTGGCGGGACCCAAAAAAATTAGCACGAAATAATTAACAGTGAAGAACTCCATACACACGACACAATGATCAAAGGGGAACAATTTAACGTCGTAATAAAGACTATCACAATTACAAAACATCAACAATTGCAATTATTTCCCCCTATGTTTTCCCACCCTCAAAGTTTGGCGTTGCCAATTTAAACGCGGAAAAAAAAAACTTATTGGAAGGTTAAACAGAGTAACAGACAAGTTCATTAAATTTTCCCTTTGTGGATTAATTGTACATAAAACATATATAAGAAACATTATTAATATTTTTTTTGTATCACACAGTGTATACCTCGGTGTATATATGCTGGAAGTCCCTATGTCAGGGACTCTGGTAAACAGGTGTCCAGCAGCCATTATGATCCTTGTGTAAGTTGATAGGTTTTAAACCCCTTTAACAAACCAACCGACAAAAGAGTATTTTTTGAATATACGCACCGCTCAGGAGGAGCTTTGAGTCTAAAGTTCCTGGTGAGCAAAACGTATCGTAAACGTTCCGAAATTTTCTCTTTAGTGCTGTATAACAAGACTGCAGACCCAGGCAGCAGAGAGAATTTCGTTCGTTTTCGTTAGTTTCGATCACCCAGGGACTTTATGAAACCAATGGATGGTCGAAACGTTGGAAAAGTTTCGCTCAGCACATAGTCTCTCTTTCCACATTATGATAGTAATGCTGAGCGAGGACGGATATAGAAGAGACTTCCTTATATGTAAGTTCCTGACAGTGGTGAAGGGCTCTTGTATCCGAGGAGGAGGAGCTACCCTCCTATTCTCTGAATCAAACTGATAACCTTCCATGTTCCAGGAGCTTTATGACAAATCGTAATTCACATGATTTTATTTGAGATAATCAATGTAATCATTTGTATTTCAAATGCAAAAGTTATCAGTACAATTGCTGACGGTACATAAAAATACAGCAGCTGACAGAACAGCAGCTGACAGTACCGAATCAGTGCAACAACTGACAGTCCAGACTCAGTACAATAGTTGACAGTAGATAATTAATAAAACCGCTGACGTTACCGAATCGGTGCAGAAGCTGAGAATACAGCCACTGACAGTGCAGCAGCAGTACAGCAGTTGACAGTGCAGTGCCAGTACAACAGCTGACAGTGCAGTGCCAGTACAACAGCTGACAGTGCAGTACCGGTACGGCAGCCGACAGTGCAATAGCAGTACAGCAGCTGACAGTGCAGTAGCAGTACAGCAGCTGACTGTACAACAGCAGCACAGCAGCTGACAGTGTAGTATCCGTACAACATCTGACAATACTGTGTCACAGTATATTATCAGCACAGTAGATGACAGTACTGTATCAGACAGTACAGCAGCTGACAGTACTGTATCAAGCAGCACATTATCAGCACAGCAGCTGACAAGCTTATCCTAAGAATCCCCTTAGTAGAAACCAACAGAAATATACATTTATATAAACATCTTTGGATTGATTACCAGTATGTATATACATTATACACGACTAGGTTATACTCTCAGCCACTTGTCATTACAAAGACTTCAGCGTACAACAGCAAGCTTCATACATATTGTACGCCATAAACATTAGTATACCTCATATACAACGATGTACATTTAGAACCAACTAACCACGTATGTCTGGCAAATAGTAACAGGGCAGACTTAGACAAATATGACAAGGAACCCGGGAGAAAATAAAGTTATAACGGAGGTGATGGATGAGGCTCGTGCGTGACTGCGGGAGAGACGTGACTGTGGGCGGGACGTGTACGTGACTGGAGGAAAGAGGAAGACGAGTGAGTTATCGGGGTGGGAGGGGAGGGGTGAAAGGGGACGTGTACGTCTTTGCTGGAGAGGGGAAGATGTGTGCTTGACTGTGGGTAAGAGGAAGACGTGTACGTGACTGTGTGTGTTTGGGAGGGGGGTGACGCTCAGTTGACTGTGGGCAGCGTTCGCATAAATGCACAATTTTTGCATGATACTTGGGTAGCTCTGGAAAAAGGTTGGACTAATGCGTGGTTGAGAATGAATGATTTTGATAAGGATTTGATATGCCTGCCACAGTGTTCCTCCATTCTTATGTTCTTATAAAAAAGTATCGACTGAGAGAAATACGTCCGTAAGAGGGTATAATGATTTAACATAGGCATGTATATGGTTGGATGGGGGCATAGGTGCCTTACACAAGAGTCAATACAATGTTACGCATACCTCACATGCATACAAACTAAGGGGTGAACAGTGACGCTGACTTTCACCACACACTCACTGCGTATGTAAGTAGAAACTGTACATACAAATTCATGATAAATTAGACACGTGTGTAATACATGGATATCTGTATTGAGGAAACGTTTCGCCACACAGTGGCTTCATCAGTCCTAAACGAAGAAGAATAGTGAAGATCTTGAAGAGATTGATGGACAGATTATATAGACTCCATGCAGAGGGACTGATTACCTCAAACTCCTCCTGATCTTCACCATTCTTCTTTGTATAGGACTGATGAAGCCACCGTGTGTCGAAACGTTTCCTCAGTAAAAATACCGAAGTGTTGCACGTGTGTCTAATTTATCAACTTGTCGGTTCTCTGAATCGTTTATCTACATACAGATTCATATTACTGTTGTACACTCACACACACACACATGTACACACAGAATGGGAAGACAATTCCGCAGATTAGAACAAATGGTTGAACTTCTCGTATTAAGGAATGGAGAGATAACAAGACACATCTCCACACAGAGAGATAAAAGTAACGAATACGAGAAAAGACGTGGTTCAACAGGCAATTTAAGTGAAGGAAAACAATGAGAAACAAGAAGGAAACCAAGAGTCAGAAAACGAAGTGTCCATGACTAGGAGGAATGCGGAAACTAAACCATATAACAAGAGTAAAGATAAAGCCACGTCACGGAACTATTCCAAGGAAGGTACTAAGATTGAAGGAGAGCCAACAGAAAACTATGATGTACATGAAAAACTCGACATTAGTTGTCAAGGTGGCCATTAGCTAATAGCAAAACAGAGAGAGAGAGAGAGAGAGAGAGAGAGAGAGAGAGAGAGAGAGAGAGAGAGAGAGAGGAGGGAGAGAGAGAGAGGGGGGGGGAGGGAGAGAAAGAGAGGGGGGGGAGGGAGAGAAAGAGAACCACCAATGAATAAGCCATAGCTCATTAATTAATGGCAAGTAAACTAACAAGCGCCAGATGTTCAAGGCATCGCTAAACTGTACAACTCTGCACAGAGAAAATGAAGACTAGACCAGGTTTAATCTCTCAATATAGTTTCAGAGACAGAAATAACTGTTTCAACAGCTATTAGAAATTCACGGAGATCAGATAGAAGAGAAAAATTATAGGGCAGACTGCCGAGTTCTTGAGTACACGAAAGCCATGGACACAGATTGCGGAGAAGACGGGAACATTAACTCAAAAAAAATCATAGCATTTAAGATAATTAATAAGAGTATATGTTAGCATATAGCAAGGGAGTCTTCCAATGGTCTCTCCCTGAACCATTATTATTCCTGATAAAAAAAATACACGACTTCCCTTAGCCTTAGAATCATATCTGACAATACAAATTATACTCCAAAATATTATGAATGAAACATGGAAAAAAATAGTCTTATTGGTAGCGTGGGTGTCTGGAGGCACCAGACCACAAGTTCGAGCCCCGCTCATTATATTTCTTCCATTCCTGGCATGGCTCGCAAAATGTAAAACTAATGAGAATTCAAACAGACGATGACTGCAAAAAACTTCAAGACAATTACTGTTGGCTATAATACCGGTTGTAGAATTGGCTGCAAGATTTGTCACATGTAATGGTAACGGGCGAAGGTTCAAGATATGAAAGAAAAGGTACCACACGAGAGAAGAGCAGCTCTCAGAATGAAAGTGAGAAACTCGCAAACTCGCACAAATATATTATTGACATTGAATAGTCTAAAGAACCTTCCACTCTACTGTATGCAACATACCCTGAAAGGAGGTTCTTTGAAGCCGTTGAAGGGCTTTTGATTCAAGGAATATGATCTGCTCACCACCTCCTTGGATCGAAAAATGATTACCTCCCACTCCCAGGCTTTATATGACTCCTACATGTTTAACGCTCCTCCATGATGTATTCAACAAATATGCGTCCGACCAATACTCGAAAACGCAGTGCTGATATAAAGCCGCACCTTATAAAACATAATATTACTGAAGGATCAGTAACAGCACAGAGGAAAAAAAGCATTGAAGAAAGGCTGAAAGATGTGGAACTCATGGTGGTAGAAAAGCTGAAACTGGATATGATCACAACGTATAAAATACTCGAAGGAACAGACAATGTACACATTCTGGTCAACTGAGAAGGTAGAGGCAGAAAGTTCTCACAATTTTTAAAAGAGGATATACTCATTGCAGATGAATCAACCAACTGCTACATTAGAGTAGAAGCTACAACAAGGCAGCCACAGAAATAACCACCAATACAGCAGAAACAACAGTCACTGCAAGAACAGAAACTACAAAGTTATTCCTTGTTCTAGATCTCTGGCTTTAAAATTATTGTTTGGATTCTCAGACAAACCAAAACAAATTATAATCCCCCCCCCTTACCATCTTTTATAATTTACGAAGTTTTCCTCACATCAAAATGAGAATTATGCAAAACGCTTGCACGTAACCTTTCTCACTCGACGACTCTTCCTGTGTTTGTACCAATCACACAAATTTAAAATGGAAAATAAGAGACTACAAAAAAAAAAAAAAAGGAAAACCTCACGTCCAGAAGAAAAACAGAAATGTTTACAGAAGTACTGCAGAAGTACATTCTGTAAAAATAAGATATAAATATGACTAGAACAGTTTCCGAGAGACAGATTACGGAAAACACACACACACACACAGAATTGAATTTTTGTCTTCAAGCAACAACCCGAGTTCAGGGATATTCATCCCTCACAAACCTAGGATGTGTTGCAAATTCACAGAAGTCAGATATGGGTGGATTATATATTCCTGACAGCAACACACAGAAGACAAACACGAATTTTTACTTCTGGCTAAAGAATCAGGTAAAGTAAAATAATGGAGGAAGGGAAATTATCAGTAGAAGAAACGATGATTAAAAGAACACAAACAACAGAAAACGAGACATCGTGGGGTACGACTAATCTGTTTGCATGAACCTAACCAGGAGGGGATCCACATGGTTTCTTCCTGGGACTCGTACTGTTGCTGGTGTACGTAAACTCTTCCTCAGAGGCTAAAATAGTACAAGCTAACATTTGAAGGCGAAACAACAACAATGTGAGAAATTCCAACTAAGAGATGACCTTGTTTAATTATAGGAATGATCTGAAAAATAGCTACTACAATTCAACCTGAGGAGATGCAAAATAATAAAAGTAATTGTGGAAGTAAGCAGAGGATTTCTTCTGGTTATCACCAAGGACAAGTAACTAATAGATGCAGATAAATCTGGGAGTTAACACACACAACCTTTCACCAGACGTAAACAAACTGAATAATGTCAACTGTATGTGCCGCATTAAGGAACATAAATTAGAAAGTACTCAGAGCAATACTGTATATACAATACTCTGTGTATTCGGCCACTTCTGAATACAGTACAGTGTTCGCCATGATGGACACACCTCAAAGAATACAAAGAAAATTCTATAAAAAGATTATTGGTCTGCACCAGAAATGAAGAAATATTGCATCACTTAAAACTCTCGAACCTAAAAGAACGAATGACTTTAAAAAGACATGACTACGATGCACAAAGTACTCAGATAAACGAAGTAGACAAAGATATACTATTTATCGTGAAACTAACTAGAACGAAAGAAAGGAGAAAATACGATACCCAGATGACTCGCACAAACATTAAGGAAACAATCTTAGTTTTACATTTTAGCCATAACTTGAGCAAGTGACAGTGTCAGCTGAAACACTTCACAGCTTCAAATAAAAATATAAGCAGCACTTAAATGCCGGACCAAAAAACTGAAGCTCAGAACCACCAAATTCGACTAGGTAAAAAAAAAAATAGGAAAAAATACACACACATACACACACACACACACACACACACACACACACACACACACACACACACACACACACACACACACACACAACGGGAGTACTAGATGAATAGCACGAAAATGTAATAACCAGTGATAAATATGAACGGAAGAGAGAAGTGGGTAGATTTGAGAATACAGGACTGCCAGTAGCAGAGGCAAGTATACAGAAAGAACAGGATGAAAGGAAGAAAATAATATCAAGAAGCACTAAGAGATTGGTGAGTAAAAGGCAATAGTGAAATTAATCAAACATAAAAAGTAGACATGAGAAAGCTGGAATGTTAGAGATAAGTAATTAATATAATATGGAAAATTGCATGAGGAACCTAGAGAGTGCATTAGTCTAGGTAACGACAATGAAGAAAGCTACTGTGAGAGAAGATAATGAAATGAAACTGAGAACTAACAATGGTAGAGAGAATAGGAGAACAAGATACTCAACACTAAGGGTAGTGAATAAATTAGAGGAGTGTGTGGTGTCGCTCTGAAGTTATCTCCGCTGTGAGTCATAAACCCTGAAACAAAGAAAACTTGTTAAAGAATAAGTCACCATTCCGTGAGCGGAAGAATTTGCAACTAATCCCCAGACTAAAGACGGAATCTGGACAGCATTTCAGTCGGTCCACGACAATTTTCGAGTAACAACTTAAGCGGGTCCAGGAAGGACAGGATTTTTTTTTCATCTTTAATTTGAAGGTTAGTTGCAGAAACTCAAGTACGGCATTATAATTCACGTAGTTATTTTTAATACATAACATTAATGTTTATACAATAAGTGTTTCAGGTAAGACACATATGCAACAGTTAGGTATCTTTATTATGAAACGTTTCGCCTACACAGTAGGGGCTGGATTTGAGAGGGACCTGACCTCTCAACATCTGAGTTCTTACCTCTCCTAGTGGCCTACGTCTCACCTCTTGGCGCTATAAAAAGCTCCATCCTGTCACTTCTTCTCCATATTGTTTCATACTATGGAACAATGCTCTTCTCCAGACTGAGGGACTGACCACCTCAAAACTTTAAGGGTGATGGACTGATTACATCGTCTTCAAGTATCTTCTGCTTCTATCAACTTTTATGTACTTGACTGAAGAAGCCTACTGTGTAGGCGAAACGTTTCATAATAAAGATACCTAACTGTTGCATATGTGTCTTACCTAACAACCTGTCGGTATTTTATACCATTTTAATGTTCAATAAGTGTTTCAGTTGAGCAATAACCTTGTGAATCTGGCTGGTAGGCGTGGTTGTAAGGTAGGTCTACAGTGAAGACTCTCTCGCTGCTCTCCCAGTACAGTTCAGGGTAAGATGCCGCACACTTCACCTGCAACACGCCCATATGCACCATGTTAGGCCGAAGATGAAACCGTAACGTCTTGAAGGCCGTCTCCAGTGTCGTCGTCTTGTTGACGTGAACTAGTACTCCTTCCTCCCACGAAGGATCCACCTGCGGGCAAAGTTAAGCAAGGATTAGCATTTACATATTTTAGAAATAGTGAGATGATATTGACAAAACGCTCTTGATAAAATGGATTTGAATTGTTTCTCCAGGGGTTGTATGGCACCTTGAAAGCTAAGTGCAGGGTTGGCTAAAATATTTCATTTTTAAAAATGATCTCGTCAAGTTGGCACATAATACAATAACACTTCTAACTCTGTTGTAAGTAACATATGTAAAGTAAAAGGACACAAGTGCAACTAATGTGACATTCTATTGTGGCAACGTTTCGCTCTCCAGCTTTGTCAAGCCGCTACCTTCATGAAATGTCCATTATGTTGCGGTGTCCGACAGATTGTAATAATGTTGGTAGAATTACCGACAATATGTTAAGTAAAAGGACACAAGTGCAACTAATGTGACAAAGCTCCTGGAGAGCGAAACGTTACCACAATAAAATGTCACATTAGTTGCACTTGTGTCCTTTTACTTTACATATTGTCGGTAATTCTACCAACATTACTGTAAGTAAGATACACCAGAATTAAAAGTTTGAAACCAAAGAGAAGAAGCGTTCTCAGATTATCGCACGGAAACTTCAGAGAAACGACAGTATTTTATATGATTGCGAGGATCACTAAAAGTCTGATCAGAGACTGACCATGTTTGGCAGATGGGTTACGTGTTTAACATTTCATGAATTACAATAGGATTAAAAGAAATCTTTCGACGCAGTATCTCACAAACATAAGAAAATAAATATAAGAGGCAAAGCATGTGAGTGGATTAAAATAATTAATAACTAACTTATAGAAAACAATCTTGATAGCAAAAAATGTGCCAGAATGTAAAATAACTTTGCTTAGTCTTAGTGGTATTGGGAAAATAAACAAAAAGTAATTTTGGGGAAACAATAGTGTTCTATCACAATTATCTTTCCAGGTAGTATGTACAGGTGATGGTGAGGTGAGGGTCCTCATCTGTACGACTTCTCTTCTTATGACTTCTCTTCTTGGCTGAAATAAGGATTCTCAACTATGCGCCTCCCTGTTTCACACTTAGTGTCAAAGGGTAGTAGCATATCTGCCTGTTACTGAGAAGGTGAAGATTTTTTACCTACACGACTTCGTTTCGCATTTATTGGCCGAATGGCAGTGAATTTCCTTGTTGATTTAAAGATGGAGGTTCTCACCCATATGACTTAATGCTTTGCTCCACATCTGAGTGGAAACACGTCATCGTAATACTGAAATGAAGACTCTCCTCTTTATGATTCCTTCTATTACTCACAGTGGCTAAGTGTTAGTGCTTCTGCCTGCTGCTGCAAAGATGGAGCTTCTCATTCGTATGATTTCTTGTTTCATGATTAACTACTTTAATAACTGCTCAGTGGTTGAGTGGAAGCACTTCTGCCTGCTGCGCTGATGTGGGTTCTTACCTCTGACTCCTTGTTTTGCAATATATTACTTTCATAAACACTCGATATCCGGGTGATATTGCATCTCTTTGCTGCTGAGAAAGTCGGAGTCTTACTTGTATGATTCTCTCGTGCCCAAAATAGGGACATGGAATTCTGTTAGTGCCTAGATTCCTGGAAATGAACCGGCAAATACTGAGGTGAAGGATACTATTACTAGCGTGTTCTCAAGCAGCGTTCTATCTCACCGTGACTTCGTGGAAACTGGCAGGCCAGATTGGTCCTAGAGAGGAAGAAGTTTTACATAGTTTGACTGGGCCCTCTTTCAACAGGAATTATTACTTTAGACGATTCGATTAACTACCCACAACTTCTGTCTTCTCGCCTACGGTTTGGTTTACGAAATCACCGGGATGCCGGCAGGTACCAGGAAGACCTTAAGGAGAGTTTTATCAACATTAAAAGTTCAATGTTTCTCTTTAATGACGTATGTTAACTTGGCTTGATATCAGTTATATGTGTCGTGTTTTTTTTTTTTTTTTGTGCTAGTAGTTTTGATTTTTGTTATTTAAATAAGTATCCTTGCAGAGGTACCTTAAAATGGATCTAAAACAATTCTGACTTGAAAATGACTCATTCCAATTAACTTCTAATTTTTAACACAGTTGTTTTGTAATAATGGATATGTTCGTATAACTATTGACACATACAGGTTCCCTGTGTTCAATTTTTTATATAAACACATTTGATTTCAGTGCAAAAGCTCAAGAAAATCAATTCTGGTTGCCTTATAAATGGTAACACTGGTGTATTCTATTTCGAGGAAAATTTGGATTGAGTGTGGGCTGTATATGTGCCAATTATGCCAGTTTTATTTAAGAATTTTCCAAAATTGATATGTTGTTTTTCATGCAATAACATGTGAATGCTTCTTCCTATTGACTTCAAACCTTCAACACCGACTTAGACCCATTCAGCCTAAATTTAAAAATATATACTATTTTCGATTAAACTCACCAACTTTAAAATTTGAAGTTGTTTAGAAGAGTCATTCTCAAGGTATTACAAGGAAAATTCTCCTCATATATAAATATAAAATTGACTCCAACAAAATCTATTAATTCGAATTATCTCTTTTTTTTAGGGACCACAAGTGTTTACAGAATGAAGGCGACCAGAAGAGGTGTTCTCAAGTTAACGAATGAAAGCTGCTGCATTATTTGCACTTATAAAAGCAGCATATAGCCACATACACAGCTAATAACAATCTTCTCTAAGACATACCAACGCTGGTTGTTTAGAGTGGAGCAGGAACAGCGTTCCATGGATATCGGATAAAACCCTTGTGGAAAGGAAAAAAAATCCAACCACTACTGGTATCACCTTTCAGTGAATATCTTATGATAACCATATCATCTGCCTCATGGATTTTTTTATAGCTCAAGAGATAAGAAATGCGCTAAAGTAACAAAAGTATAGATGAAGATGAACTCACTGTCTGATTGTTGATATAGAAAGATAGGCTTGGGGCTGGCCGAGCATTCTGGGAGAAACAGGTGAAGGTAACTTGCTGCTGTAACTTAAATGGACCTTCTTCCTCTCCGGTGATCGTCGGCCTCTCGTCAGGTAGGTCTGCACAGAGTGAGTGCTGCTTAAATTCCAGTTTCATTTTTTGTTTTATACAGTTCACTTTAAAGACTAAGAGCCTACCTTAACCATATTTCAATTCCCAATCCTGTCTAATGTATTCTACCACCCCATCCTCAAGATGTCACTCGCATCAGATAGCTAACTCGCAGGCACCTATTTACGAGGTGAACTAGGACAGTAGGTGTAATTAAACGCGTAGTCCAGCCGGAAACCAAACCCGCTTTTTTTTTGTTTTTTTTTTGGGGGGGGGGCTATGAACCTAATAGACTTTAGTGAGACTTGGGTAAGCAACAGACATCCCACAACGTGGAATGTATGACTGAAACATCAAGGGTTCATTGATGATGAGGGACTCTTTTAAGGAAATGAAGTCATCCTCCTAGTTCTCGGATCAAACGTGATTACCACCCATTGCCGAGGTGCTCTATGACCCGTTCAAATGAAGTGTTTCCCATGAAAAATAATAATTAATAATATATTATTCTTTATAGAATGCATGAAAGGTCACTAACAGTAATGTAATGCTACCACTCGACGTAAAATATCATACCACTATTTTACTGCATAAAATATTGAGTTTTAATCTGGTTGATGCGTCAGTGTTGTAACTGACACTTCAACTAATGTTGAGCTTTATACCAATGTTCAACAACAGCTCAACGACGTATTGCCAGCATTTTATTAAGCGTATTGTTTACCATTTTCTCACAATATATTCCGATAAATTTTGCAGATGTGGTTTGCTCTCTGCGAGCCAGCTTAGACCTGCCAGGCATTAAAGAGGACGGAACTTATTGAGTCTGTAACCAAGCTTCCAGACATGGTGGGGCCTAGTGAAAGTTTGGTTACTTAATTATGTTAAAAACATATCTTCTACACGAGGGTCATTATGGATGCATGCGACTTGTGCACTACCAGTCAAGAATACTGAAATTCTGTTTTAGAATTGGGATTAGAAAAAAATTCTGGTGTACACTGAGTGACATACACTTCTCGGTATATACACAGAGAGACACCTTTTGGTAAATATAACCTAATAAAGTTGGTAGAATTACCGACAATATGTAAAGTAAAAGGACACAAGTGCAACAAATGTGACATTTTTATTATGGCAACGTTTCGCCACAATAAAAATGTCACATCAGTTGTAGTTGTGTCCTTTTACTTTAAATATAACCTAAAAAGTCAAATTATTAAGCTTTACAAAACATGAAATGTATATGTGTGTGTGTGTATATATATATATATAATGTCTTCCCTCTTCTGAGGAATATTATAATAGTCATTCTGTACCAATATTTGTCCTCCCTGTACTAAGGTTATAACAATTCTGGCTGTAATAATAATAGTCACACCAGTGTGGGTGAAGGTGTTTCCGTCACCTCCCGGTAGAGCACTTTGTACCTCTTAAAACTCAACATTATCAGCACTTTGTAGTTCGGGGATATCTTGTTCTGGGGAAAATGATTTACAAAATATGAGGAAAATATAATTATTAAAGAAACGAATGCTGAAAGAATACCACTGAAATACCACTTCAACAATTATTCTGAGAGAGGGATACCGTAGTGTTATAAGGGAGGTTATTATAATGATTTACTACACACCTATGGGGACGAGATTATAAAGTATATTAATGAAAGGTTCACTTAGTCCGCTACAGTTTTAATAGAAGCATGCCGCTTGTGTGACCAGCTACCCGCGGTCAATGCTCGGCCTCCTGTTGTCTTATCCTCTACTCATACACCAAGATTATGTTCTATAGTCCTTCAACGAGAAAGAAGTAGATAGTTCTCAGCAGATAGACTCGATGTGAACTTCCAAGTTCTCGTCTTTTCCATGTACTCGTAATAACAACATTCGCATCGTCACTTATATTTCTTAATCTTTGTGAATTTTTTGGATTATGTGCAGCATTTTTAATGCAAAATCAATCTAGTGTCCATAGTATTAAAAGTGTGGTACATGGTGAAATGCATTTAAAAAAAAATTATTTTGATTAGAAGGAAAAACTAATGAAAATACAATTTGCATCTATAACACGTAAATCTTGATGTAATTTCTATGCAGTAAAAAGCATACAAGAGTATTTTAATGGTATACTTTTGTAAAATAGCGTGTCCAGACACACTCAGGCCAGCCCTTCCCACGCTCACTCACCCACGACAGTCATTATGGACGACTTGACGGATGTCTTGAAGACAGGCGCTTCCCCAGACACCTCACATTGGTAGTTACCGCCGGCGTTCACAGTCACGTTGTGTATCCTGACGCGGCCGCGCTGGGATGCACGGGTGTCTACCCTGAAGTGCTGCATGGGGAAGGTCTTGACAGAGGGCGTCTCAAGAGGCGTCCACCTGTAGAACTCATCTATACCAAGATACCACTTGAGGGAGTACACGTGATCCCCCTCATCGTCCCAATCACACACCAGCCACCCTCCCTCGCCCACTGCAAGGAGCGTCGGAACCTCCAGCTGGCTGATCCTGATAGCTAACGACACTCCTGTGGAGAAGACATAGGGAATTACCCGAATCAAGTAGTGGAGATCGTTACATAAAAATAATAGTTCCACATAATAATATTCGGTACACCTCATTCATGGAAAACAAACATGTCACTAATGACACACACGTATCAGAAACTTAATTATTAAAGTCACTAGTAGAGGTTTTGGATCACAGTCGGAATCACCCGGGCTCAATCCTGGGCAGGGCAAAATGTAAGGGCAAGTCTCCTAATGTGATGTTTGCACAGACCTCACCAATTCGCACACTTAGAGAAGAAGAGAAGAGTGGCTATATTCAAATGAGAGGAGAGTGTTTGGCTTTTATAAAGCAGAAATGGATGAAACATAGCGAAGGCATAATAGGAATTTACATATATATATATATATATATATATATATATATATATATATATATATATTATATATATATTATATATATATATATATGTAATCAATGATTTTGTTGAAAATAAGAAAAAGTTTTGGAGTGAGATTAACAAGTTAAGGAAGCCTAGAGAACAAATGGATTTGTCAGTTAAAAATATTAGAAGAGAGTTATTAAATGGAGAGTTAGAGGTATTGGGAAGATGGAGGGAATATTTTGAGGAATTGTTAAATGTTGATGAAGATAGGGAAGCTGTGATTTCGTGTATAGGGCAAGGAGGAATAACATCTTGTAGGAGTGAGGAAGAGCCAGTTGTGAGTGTGGGGGAAGTTCGTGAGGCAGTAAGATAAGATAAGATTTCGTTCGGATTTTTAACCCCGGAGGGTTAGCCACCCAGGATAACCCAAGAAAGTCAGTGCGTCATCGAGGACTGTCTAACTTATTTTCATTGGGGTCCTTAATCTTGTCCCCCAGGATGCGACCCACACCAGTCGACTAACACCCAGGTACCTATTTGCTGCTAGGTGAACAGGACAACATGTGTAAGGAAACGTGTCGGAATGTTTCCACCCGCTGGGAATCGAACCCGGGCCCTCCGTGTGTGAAGCGGGAACTTTAGCCACCAGGCCACCGGGCCACCTACCAGGTAGGTAGGTAAAATGAAAGGGGGTAAGGCAGCCGGGATTGATGGGATAAAGATAGAAATGTTAAAAGCAGGTGGGGATATAGTTTTGGAGTGGTTGGTGCAATTATTTAATAAATGTATGGATGAGGGTAAGGTACCTAGGGATTGGCAGAGAGCATGCATAGTTCCTTTGTATAAAGGCAAAGGAGACAAAAGAGAGTGCAAAAATTATAGGGGGATAAGTCTGTTGAGTATACCTGGTAAAGTGTATGGTAGAGTTATTATTGAAAGAATTAAGATTAAGACGGAGAATAGGATAGCAGATGAACAAGGAGGCTTTAGGAAAGGTAGGGGGTGTGTGGACCAGGTGTTTACAGTGAAACATATAAGTGAACAGTATTTAGATAAGGCTAAAGAGGTCTTTGTGGCATTTATGGATTTGGAATAGACGTATGACAGGGTGGACAGGGGGGCAATGTGGCAGATGTTGCAGGTGTATGGTATAGGAGGTAAGTTACTGAAAGCAGTGAAGAGTTTTTACGAGGATAGTGAGGCTCAAGTTAGAGTATGTATGAAAGAGGGAAATTATTTCCCAGTAAAAGTAGGCCTTAGACAAGGATGTGTGATGTCACCGTGGTTGCTTAATATATTTATAGATGGGGTTGTAAGAGAAGTAAATGCGAGGGTCTTGGCAAGAGGCGTGGAGTTAAAAGATAAAGAATCACACACAAAGTGGGAGTTGTCACAGTTGCTCTTTGCTGATGACACTGTGCTCTTGGGAGATTCTGAAGAGAAGTTGCAGAGATTGATGGATGAATTTGGTAGGGTATGCAAAAGAACAAAATTAAAAGTGAATACAGGAAAGAGTAAGGTTATGAGGATAACAAAAAGATTAGGTGATGAAAGATTGGATATCAGATTGGAGGGAGAGAGTATGGAGGAGGTGAATGTATTCAGATATTTGGGAGTGGACGTGTCAGCGGATGGGTCTATGAAAGATGAGGTGAATCATAGAATTGATGAGGGGAAAAGGGTGAGTGGTGCACTTAGGAGTCTGTGGAGACAAAGAACTTTGTCCTTGGAGGCAAAGAGGGGAATGTATGAGAGTATAGTTTTACCAACGCTCTTACATGGGTGTGAAGCATGGGTGATGAATGTTGCAACGAGGAGAAGGCTGGAGGCAGTGGAGATGTCATGTCTGAGGGCAATATGTGGTGTGAATATAATGCAGAGATTACCAAAACTGTTGTCCAGAGGGCTGAGGAAGGGTTGTTGAGGTGGTTCGGACATGTAGAGAGAATGGAGCGAAACAGAATGACTTCAAGAGTGCATCAGTCTGTAGTGGAAGGAAGGCGGGGTAGGGGTCGGCCTAGGAAAGGTTGGAGAGAGGGGGTAAAGGAGGTTTTGTGTGCGAGGGGCTTGGACTTCCAGCAGGCATGCGTGAGCGTGTTTGATAGGAGTGAATGGAGACAAATGGTTTTTAATACTTGACGTGCTGTTGGAGTGTGAGCAAAGTAACATTTATGAAGGTGTTCAGGGAAACCGGCAGGCCGGACTTGAGTCCTGGAGATGGGAAGTACAGTGCCTGCACTCTGAACGAGGGGTGTTAATGTTGCAGTTTAAAAACTGTAGTGCAAAGCACCCTTCTGGCAGGACAGTGATGGAGTGAATGATGGTGAAAGTTTTTCTTTTTCGGGCCACCCTGCCTTGGTGGGAATCGGCCAGTGTGATATAATAATATATATATATATATATATATATATATTATATATATATATATATATATATATATATATATATATATATAATCAGGTGGATAGTTAAAATGGCTCAAAGACAGACACACACATACAGCAGGGGTCGAGCTATGACTCGATTCCTGCAACCACAACTAGGTGAGTGTACACACACATACACACACAGGGGCCAGGAGCCTAGTATCGACTTCGACAACCACATACAGGTGAGTACACACACCAATCTGCAGTTTCGTAGATGACAGTGTCAGGGAGAGAAGCCTCATGCTACTAAACTTACTTGGTCAATCTTCTGTCTTCCTCATCATCTCTTCCTGCTTTTCTTTTCCTTCCGGTCTTATACTTCCTCTTCTTTACCTTCCCATGCTACCAGTGACACTTCTCTCCCTTCCTCTTCGTCCTCTCATCTCTCAGATTCTTCTTGATCTCTATTTATCTTATCCCCCCCCCTATTTATTCATCATCTAACTGTTCCTTCCCCTTTCCTCAACCATTTTTCAATTCGTTCATTCCTCTTCATCCTTTTCACTATTCTTTCATTTTCTCACCTTTATTCCCATTGTCTCACCGTTCATATTTGTATCATTTTCATCTTTGTTACATTCCAGTCAGGAATGCCTCTAGGAATTTCTTTTTGGGTAATATATTTTATATATATAGTATGTACATTAAATATATATTACATATATATTATACCGAAAGGTATTCCTCACGCTTTTACAGTACTCCCTCCCCTCTCCCACACCTCTTCTTCACTCTCCCACACCTATTCTTCCCCTCACCCACACCTCTTCTTCCCCTCTCTCTCATCTCTTCTTCCCTCCCTCCCTTACACCACTGCTTCCCTCCCTCCCTTACACCACTGCTTCCCTCCCTCCCTCACACCACTGCTTCCCTCCCTCCCTCACACCTCTTCCCTCTCCTCTCTGACACCTCTTCTTCCCACCCTTCTTCCACACCTCTTCCCTGACACTACCCTTTCTTCCTCCCCTTCCCTCTCCGAAACCCCTTCTATCTCTTCCCTTCCCCCCCTACAACCCCCTCCCCCCCCCCGAAGCAGGTCCCGTAATATAAGATTACACTCCCACAGCAAATCACACCCCAGCGACACCACCACCAACCACTGTCTTAAGTACAATGTCTTATAACGTGAACACACTGCACACTTTTACCTACAAGTGTACCTACATGGAGAAAAATATATTTCTGTTTAGCAGTGAACTATATTAATTAGGAATGGTAAAATCACTACTAAAAACCTTACCCTCCAGGAGGGAGAATAGGATGACCGAAGGAGTGGATAAATCAATGGTTTCCCTTCGAAAGATTATTTAAACTGAGATCTGTGCATATTTGACAAAAGAGTTATTGACTAAATGATGATGAATATTTTTTTTTACGGAAAGCATTCATCTGATGGAAGATGGTCTATAAGGTAAATAAAATATTACGAAAGAAGCCACTAAGGGATGGACAGAACTAGCTCTAGGCTTTTCGCACTATAGCCAAAACTTCATCAGGTAGAATTGGCAACAGTTGCAAAAGGGTTACAATAGGAAGAAGTGTAAAATTCTTAAATTTAGGTAGGCGAAGCAGCCAGCTTGCTTTGCAGTCAAACCATACCACGGGCGGGGATAGAACCCGCGATCAGAGAGTCTCAAAACTCCAGACCGTCGCGTTAGCCACTGGACCAGTTAGCCACAATAAGATTCGTCCAACTAGGTATATTGTGGCTAGCTGGTCCAGTGGCTAACGCGACGGTCTGGAGTTTTGAGACTCTCTGATCGCGGGTTCTATCCCCGCCCGTGGTATGGTTTGTTTGCAATCGTGTCATTACGATTTCGTGAGTCATGTCGAGTCTTGCTTTGCAGTTTTTGTGCACCACATATATACATATATAAAAATACTTTTATATATCGGTAATCACGCGTTTTATTGTGATTTCTTCCCTATAATATATATATATATATATATATATATATATATATATATATATATATATATATATATATATATATATATACATACATGCTTGTTTGATAATATTTTATGATCATTGAACGGTGTTAAACTTGTTTTTTCTGAAAAAAGGTCTAATTTTGGGTTATTTCATCGTACATGATATACTAAAAAGCTTAACATGAACATTTCATTCGCAACTGACCCATATTGCCACATAAACTAGCATTCTATAACATACAAGAATTATTTAGTTTATGCTCAAAATCA